CATGAGACAACATGAAGATGACTTGTGCAATGCCGGGTACAAAGTTCATGCTTAATAAAGGTTAATGGAAACAGAATCTTGTCCTCAGTCTTTTTGATTCGAAAACTGGACTTCATTAGCTTGCTGACAAGAGGTGTTTAGCTGCTGGCAAAGCAATTCACAAAATCCAAACGTTAAAGGGACCATCTTATAAATTCTATGCCAGTTTATTCATTGCCCACAGGAGAACTGGCTGGCAGAATAACTACTCTCAGGGAATACATTCTTGGGGCCCGTGAAGAAATTGTGGTCAGTTCAATGAATATTATTATTATTATCTATCACACACCTGGCATGCGTTAGTGCTGAGGCTACAGTGATGTATAAACCTCATCTATGCCCTTAATGGAGACATAACGGTCAAATACATAACTGCCTCAACCTGAGATGTTGGTGAAAAAATAAGGTACTGAGGCAACAGAGAGGAGAGTGGGGGAACTTCAGGGAGGCTCCAGAAGGCTGACAAAGGGGGACAACATGTGTGCAGAGCTTTCAGAGGATGGAGTTCACTAATGGACAAGACAAGGGAAGGAGCTTTGCAGCCAGAGGCACTAGCATGGTGACAATAGGTCGTCATTGCTGGGGTGAGAGATGGAAGGCCAAGGAGGTACAGTGAGTGGGGAGGGAGGACACAGTGGTACCTGGAGCTGGGGAGGCAGGCAGCAGCCACATCAGCGAGGCCCTTTCAAGTCGGCTAAGGAGCTGGGATTTAATGCTGTAGAGCTTGTGGGAGAAGCTAGTACCTTGGGCATCACATGGACCCAGGTTTGAGTTCTCTTTGGCTACTTACTGTGTGACTTAGGCAAGATACTTCTGCTCCATGAGCCTCAGTTTCCTCATCTGTAAAAAGGGCTTCATAATAGTAGTTCCTCATAAACTTGTCGTGAGAATTAAAATGGAACGAAAGAATGTATACAAATGATTTCATTCAGTGACTGGCACATAGTATGCTATTAAACCATTGTTACTATCATCTCTCTTAGTATTACTAGGATAGACTATTCTTTTAAGAGGTTTAAGTGAGAAGGGAAGTAGAGGAGGCCTAATAGTGATCAGAGGATTATTTGATGAACAGGAACTAAGGATAAAGAGAATTAGCTATTAAGAGATACTTCTACCATCCAACTTTTTATGCTTGGATTCAGGTAATTAACGCTGACTGCCTCAACGGACAAACACTGAAATCTCAGTGGCTTAATCTAACACAAAACAGGTTTATTTCTCACTCACAGGCCAAGGCAGGTTGGGGCAGATCTCCTACATGGCTCTCCCAGTGGGTATCTCAGGGACCTCGGCTCTTCTGTCTTATAGCCCTGCCACATGGCACACGTGACTCGCAAGGTTATTGGGATGGGGGGGAAGAGAGACGGAGGGGGCCCATGGGCTATTTATTAACTGCCCCAACCTAGAAGTGACACACTTGAATGCCACTCGCATTTAACCGGCTAACATGGCCCCAAGCTCCCACTAAACCCCAAAGGTGGCTGAGAAATGAGGAGGAGAGCCAGGACATTTGGTGAGCACTGGCAGTCTCACCAAATAACCGTCCTCAGGGTAGATACTGACATGGGACACCAGCCTGAGAAATCTTTCTTCCTTGAGCAGTGCTGGGGTGATGCTCTCTAGCCCAGACAAAAACCCTCTCTTTGGTTTTGACAATGTAACCCTGGGCATATTGCCATAAACCAGATCAGGTTGCATGGTACACTTATTATACTTAGATCTCCTTCATGTTTTTAGGAGATGATGTAAGTCTGTTTGAGTTTGGGAAATTTAAAGTTGATTTAATTGTGAAACGGAGATAACTTGTTCAGTGCTTCTTAAAGTACATTCCTTGAAATTCTGGTTCCTATATTATTTGGCCAAAGAGAAGGAGGGCTCCATGGTCAAAAAAAGGTTTGAAAAGCACTGAGGTTTTTTTTTTATTTTTTATTGGGGAATTGGGGGAAGGGGAACAGACAAGTTGCTGTCCTTTTGTTCTTCAGTCTAGTTGTGGAGGACGTTGCTTCACTGGCCCAAGTTGGCACCATCATTGCGCTCTTCCCGGGCGAGGCAGATCAGTCGCCAGCTTCTGGACAGCCGCTCACGGTGGATGCTGGCTACACACGGTAGCCCATAGCAACCCACCTGCCGTAGCCGGCGACTCATGGCAGCCCAGCTCCAGGTTGAGCTGTTGTTCAGCATCTTAGCTGTAGAGGGCAGCGCCACTGGCCCTCATATGTGGGATCCGAACCGGGGCCCTCTGGTGTCCCAAGCCAGCTCTTAACCAATGCGCCACTCAGCCGGCCCCGCTGAGGTTGGTTTTTTTTTTTTGACATAAACAGTACTTTATTTCTGATACTCAATCAGCCTTCCTCCCTTTTCTTCTCTAGTTTTTTTTTAAAGAACTCATTTATAAACATATGTTCATTAGAAAATTCAAAAATATTAAAAAGTAGAAAAACATAAACCTTATTCATAATCCCACTTCCCAGTCACTGTGTGTGGAAAACACTGAGGTGGGTATCACCCTTTGGTGGAGCAGAATTAATGGATCTAAAATCTTGCAGTAACTTGCCTGCTTAACCTTTTTTTTTTTTTAAGCTATCATGGAGCCCATTCACACACATTTTTCCTACATAATACATAATAATTTCCCAAGAGCTAGTCCAGGGCAGAAGAGACCCAGTGTAATCGGTGACACATTTGAAAATCCTGAGGTTCTGGTATCAGAGGACGATGTTTCTGCCCTCGTCTACCTATCTAAGGGTTGCTTTCACCCAGAACTAATGGCAGAGGTGGTCACCACAGCCCGGGGTGACACAGTAAGCTGCTGTCAGAGGCAGATGCAATGAGAACTCCTCCTCCTGGGCCTTACCCACCTTTTGATCTGCCCACATGCCCACACATCTGATGCCTCTGAAACCTGGATGTGTCACTTCTGTCTCCGAATAATCTGTTAGCAAGGTAAGCCCGGGGGTTGAGGAATTCCTGATTCATCCAGCCAGTCAACCCCTCATGGGAAGATAAAAAAAGGTCACCTTATCTGTTCCCTAACCCTGGGCAGAAGTGGCATGGTCCCAGAGGGATGGTGCCTCAGCTTCTTAGAAAGTTTCCAGAAAAAAGGAGATTTCAGAGGCTTACTTTGACAGCCAATCCTATGTAAGTTTCTCCTGTTTCAATTTAAATCCTTTTCTTACTTTTCTATTATCAATGACCAGAATTAATCAACTTTTTTTTTTTGTGCTTGCAGAAAAAAAACAAACTGGCTAAAATTATGGGGCGAGGGAAGAAATCTCATGAAATAATGGAAACCTAATCTTGTGCTTCTTGAGGGGCCTGCCGGTCACCCAGCCACACTGACATTGTCCCTCTTCTCTTCAGAGGGAATGGACCATAACATCTCTTAGGCAGCACAAAGAGCCCACCCTGTTCCCCAGACTCCTACCTGATCATTTGTGGCTGGCGCCATCTCTATCACTCCCTGATGTCCCCAGAGCCTTGTTCCCTGTGGGGTAAACACCTTGGTTGTTATTATGCTCTGTGATTGGTTCATTGGAGGCTGTGTCAGACAATTACCCCAGCTACCATCTGGCCACACCATGAAGGCCCCTAGGGGAACCCAGGCTCCAGGGTATAACTGAGGGTACAGCAATGAGCCTGTCCTAAGCACCAGTAAGTTTCACATTTTCCCTAAATGTCCCTGGTGCCAAGGTCTGGGTTGAACGTAGGGGGAGCAAACGAGGGAAGGGTCAATCCAGGGGGACCTGTCAATCTGATGGTGGAAACGGGACACATACCCAGGACTCAAACTGAAATGTAGAGTGGAACCCCACCTGGGTGCCTGAGGAGCAGTACAGGAAGGGGTTCTTTCTCAGAGAAGAGGAGAATTGGAGGCAAGTTAGTTGGAGGAAAGGAAATTGGGTTTAGAGTGAAGAAAGATACTCCTGAGCTTATACAGAACGAAGTTCTAGAATCTGGTTCTTAACTTTCAGATCAGGAGTGTCTTCTTTAGCTCTTTTTGACATGTTCCTAATAGTTGGTCACATATCGATCCAGAATCAGTGATGCCAGGGAAGCAAATGTCCTGATCACAGGTTCCTTGGATTGGATGAATGATCCTCTTCTGTTATTAAAGAAAAAAACAAAAACAAAAAAACCTCCCAAACCTCAGGAAAGACCATCTTCCTAAGGCTTTCTCATGCCATCTCCCCAGGCCTTCTTCCTGCCATCCCCGCTAGTATCTCCCTGCTCTTATTCTAGAAAAACTTTTCTGGAGAAAACTTTCAGCTCCGGTCCAGACATCCCCCGCACATGTGACCAGAGCTCTCAGTGACCTTAAGTCTGTCACTGTATCCTGCTTCCCCCAGCATACTGAGAGTTCCTTGCAGGTAGGCCAGAAGTCTCCACTCTCCCAACCCCTTTCCAGTACTCAGGGCAGAGCCATCCTCACCCAGAAGCCTGAGGAAGCATCAGGGGACAGGCTAAGGACAATTCTCTGGGATAGTCTTGACCCTGGTCATGTCCTTCTGAAGCAGGACCAGCCTGGACATCTGCTTCCCTGTACCTTCCCCTTTCCCCCACACACCTACAGAGGCCAGACCCACTGAAAGCTTCCACTGGAGATCTTGTCAGTGATAACCCCAGTAATTGGAGGGCAGCAAGTGGAGATAAGGCAGCCAAATTATTATAATGCAGGAGGCAAGCAAAGCAAATGCAAGGTTCTGGGCTACTTTATAGGGGATTCATGGGGAGTCAGGGAGGAAGAGACAAAAATCTCAGCGAGGGGTGGTAATTTCCTAAATGAAGAACCCAAGAGGCCCCATGTGGCCCAAATGATTTTCCTGACCTACAAATTAGGCTGACTCCAGCCCGTCCCGCCTGATCTCGGCTATTTAAGGGGTGAGCGAGGGCGGAAAGTCCAGCTGCCCTCTGAGCCCTCTTCTGCCTCCCGCATCACTGGGCAGCACATCCTCGAAACCATGAGCCGCCAGCTACACCCCTACCCTGGCGGGGAGCGCCTCGGCTTCAGTGGTTGCTCTGCTGTCATCTCTGGCCGGGTCAGCAGCAGCTCAGCCTCGTTCAGGGCTGGAGTCAAGAGCACAGCTGCCTTTGGCAGCAAGAGTCTCTTCAGCCTGGGGGGTGGCCGCCGCCTGGCCCTGAGCGCCTTGGCAGGGCGGGGCTCTGCCTTCGCGCTGGGCCACTGCGCAGGAACCGGCGGCCGCTTGGGGGGCTTCGTGGGCACCGTCTTTGGCAGCGCCGGCCTGGGGCCCGCCTGTCCATCGGTGTGTCCACCAGGTGGCATCCCTCAGGTCACTGTCAACAAGAACCTCCTGGCCCCCCTCAATGTGGAGCTGGATCCCAAGATACAGAAAGTGCGTGCACAGGAGCGGGAGCAGATCAAGGCGCTGAACAACAAGTTCGCCTCCTTTATTGACAAGGTGGGTCCTGGAGCATCTGTCCCTGCATTGGTGACCACTGTACACAAGGGTGCTCGCTCTGCCACTTGACAGCTGCGTGGGAACTGAGACGAGTTAGTTATCTCTCTGAGCCTCCCTTTCTTCATCTTTAAAATGGGCACAAAAATAGCTCTTACCTAGTAGGTTTGTAATGAGGGTGAGTTGGATGTTTACAGGAGAAGATCCTGGGAAGGGATGGGGGAAGGGGCATCAGGGACAGGAGATGCATGGAATGGGCCCTTTGAAGGCTCTCAATGTCAGACAAGGAGATGGGGACACACATTCAGGACAGGGGCACTAGAGGAATGCAGGCCAGCAGGTGTCACAGGACTTGAAGCTTGTTTGGTGAATGGGAAAGGACTTGGAAGGTAGGAAGTGGGATAAAGGTGTAAGCCAGGAAGGTTTCTAGAAGTTAGAGAAAAGGGCCAGAAAATGGAAAGGTGGGCGTGAAGGGAGATGATATAGAGGAGGACATGTCAAATTACACGTGTGTATTGTATGTGTGTGTGTGTGGGATGCCCAGAAATTGGGGTAACAGGGAAGATGTCTCAGAGATTCAGAGACCGTGGCCCCAATGAATGGGCAGAGACAAGGAATGGGCTTCTCTTGTCCCCACCTTGGGCAGAAGACCCTGAGTGAGAAGGGGACATAATACTAACAATAGCTGATGTTCTCAGTGCCTGGTGCTGTCCCAAGTGATTCTCGTTTATCGCCTCGCAACCCATGATCCTGTTCCCATTCTGCCTTGCAGATGAGGAAATTAAGACAGAGGGAGGCTAAGAAATGTGCCCCCATTGATAGAACAGGCAGCTGTAGACTGTGTCCCTCACCACTAGGCTTGGGAAGAGGAAGGGAGGTAGTTGGAGGGGAGAGGACAGGGTGGAAGACACAGAGCTGCTCTTCCAGAGGACAGGGGTCATTTTCTTCCTCTAAGTCTGTTCTTCCATAACATATTTCCTTCTCTCCCTCAAGCTGAAAAGATAGGTGAGAAGAGAAATGCTGGTGAGCAGAGTGCCTGAGTTTATTTAGTCCAAAAACGTGAAACTTTTGGTCAAGTAGGAAGGAACCTTGGAAAGATGTGGTAACCCGCTTTGAAAACCAAAGAAACAAACAAACCAAGAGCCACTTAGGCTGCACATAAGAAAGAATGTGCTACCCACCAGAATGATTCTCCAGTGCCATCCCCCTCATCACTGTTTCTCCCCTGCTTCCCACTTCCCTTCTCTCTGAAAATACCAGCATTTAGAGCAAAAGAAGCTTCCTCAATCACATAACTCAGTGGCAGTTTTAGCATTGCGTAAGCCACTTCCCACTGTCTTGTAGACTGGATCTTTCTTTCTTTTCTTTTTTTTTTTGTGGAAAAAGGAGAAACTTTAGTCAGGTAAACAGTTTGCAAATTGGGAAATGCAGCCTCTGGTGGAAACCAAAGTGTGTTCCATTAAGACAAAGGGGAGGCTACCTTTTATAGATAAAGTTCCCACCCTGGTTCCTGATTGGTCTATTTTTATGCAAATGAAGAATCCAAATTTGCACAGCTCTTTGATCCAAATCACACTAAACTGGATCTTTCTTGTCCTGGAGACCCAGATGGGCATGTTCTCCTGGCCGAATTCATTCCCTGATGAGCCTTGATCTTTCCTGTCCCCCACCCCCATCCCAGGATGACTGCATCTGATTTCTGGGGTCTCCTTCCCACTCATGAGAGGCAACAGCATGGGGGATTCTGGGCTGTGACCACCTTTTGGTTCCAGGTGCGGTTCCTGGAGCAGCAGAACCAGGTGCTGGAGACCAAGTGGAACCTGCTGCAGCAGCTGGACGTGAACAGCTGCAGGAAGAACCTGGAGCCTGTGTTCGAGGGCTACATCAGCACCCTGCGGAAGCAGCTGGAGACACTGTCTGGGGATAGAGTGAGGCTGGACTCGGAGCTGAGGAACATGCAGGATTTGGTGGAGGACTACAAGAAGAGGTGAGTGGAGAGACAAAGAATATGCCCCGGGAGGGTCTGGATTGCAGATGAGGTTTTGATTTGGGGCCAGCTTTTTTGCCTTCTTAGATCTTTTGCTGATCCCATTGCAATTTCCTTTCCCATAGGGGAGGGAGAGAGATCCAGGAGGCATATCTGTGCTGGTGAATGCCACCATTAAAGAGAATAATTGAGAATGTACTTGGAACCAGAGAGCCTTTCTCCCCCCAGGTGGAGCCAATGGGGAGAGAGCGATACATCTGGGCTCAGTGTGATCTGATATTTGGGCAGTTTGCTTCCAGGTGCCAGGATTTCTTGAAATTGATGACTTCTGCCATAATTCAAGGGGTGGAGGTGGTCAGAGCTGGGTAATTTTTCTTGTTCCATGTTTGAGCTGCCGGTCCATCTATTCTAAAGTGCCCCCCACCCCCACCCCCCCAGGCAGAACTCTGGCCTGAGCCCTTTATGGAGATCCTGAGGGAAGAGGCGACATGGTCTCTGACCTCTGAAAGCACACAGATTGTGGGGACTGGCTTAAAGAGTACTTCCAGATAGCTCCTAATCAGTGGAAATGAACCCAGTGTGAACCGAGAGAAATTATGATGGGGACATGGGAGCCTGATGGAGATCTGAGCAGGATTCTGAGAAGAAGAAAGGGCGGCTGGCATAGGCCAGGTGTTTAGGTCAGAGGCATCTGGAGGCTGTGCTGTCTCTGGGCCTTTTGGAAAGGAATGGCCAGGTGTTATAGAATCACCAATCACTAGTTGAGTGACCATGGGTCACTCTTAATCCTCTGTGAACTTCAGTTTTAATGCTTATGAAAATCAGATACTGATACCTGTTTTGCCACCTACAAAAGCAGTTGAGAGGGTAAAGCCAGATAGTAATCTATTAACAGCTCCCAAAAGAACCTAAGGCACATGTAAGGCATCGTGTCCCTGATGTCAGAAGTCTTGCATTTGGATCCTACCATCACTATTAACTAGCTTTGTGACTTCAGGCAACTCGCTGCCTCATTTATAAAATGGGGAGATAATAATAGAACCTACTTTATAGGGTTGTTGTGGGGATTAAATAAAATAATGTATGTGGAGACATTAATACAATGTTTAGCCTGTAGTAAAGGGTAAGAAATATTAGCTGCATTTATTATTTTTTAATATTAATTTTATCACTAATCTCTGCCCCCGTGGGTCCTCAGCCACTTTTTTGTACCTCTCTTACGATATATCATAAGAGATCTTAATTATAAGTCATCCTTGTGTTAGAATTTTGAGTGCATTTACCATTCTGTAAAACTATGAAATTCTAGAGAATAGGCAGTGTGTGTGTCTTAAGCACCACTGTATACTCTGGCAGTGGTCAAGATTTTTCTCATAGACACTATAAAATAATTTTTAAGTACTCACAATTTAAAAAATCACGCAATTTAAAAAAAGTTGACATAAAATTTTTTATCATAAATTTAAGTAGTTGCAAAGGACATAATTTAAGCATATTGTATATATTGCCATTTAAAATGATAAAGGTTACATTAACTTGTTTAATTGTATCCAATTGCCACAACAGTTTAATACCCACTGTCCATCATTCATCTAAAAAGTTAATGAAGAAGCTCTGCTTTAAAAATCATAAACTTTACCTTGATCCTTTCTTCATTTGAACTCCCATTTTTACGCCACTTTCCTCACATAATTTTGTTCCAATGTAATATAGTTTATGCCTTAAAGTCTTTTGTTGATCGCCCCAGCTGCCACAAAATCTGTGTGTAACTTGAAGGTTCAGAAAATGTACTTCTTGTGATAAGTTTTTAAGTGTCTAAAGATTTATTCTGGGCTGAGTTATCCAAACAACAAGATGTGTTACTAATATTGTTAAATAATTATTAAACATAAAAAGTAAAAAATAATTTGGAAATACATTTTTTAACGAGTTGAATGGGGAAGATTTGTTTTGCCCCAAGTGGCTTAGTCATTCACGCATGCATATTGATTCTTGCTAGAATGAGACAGGATTCTTTTCCATTCTTACCTAAGTGCTGGGAAGCTTTGTTCATTCGAATAGGTTTTTTTGTTTTGTTTTGTTTTTTTATTAAATTATTTTTTATTATGAGATACACATTTTTTAGAATTAGTTTCAGCTGTACAACAATGGAGGGACTTTTGCAAGAGAAGTGTTACTCAGTTCTTTGAAAGCCTTTCCAGTTTTCCTGCTTTTTCTTTCTCTCATAGTACTTATTTTCTAACATGCTATATAATTTACTTGTTATGTTTGTTGTTTCTCTCTCTCTGCTCCATGAAGGCAGTGATATTTGTTTGTTTTGTTCCTTGATTTCTTCTCAGTGCCTATAAAATATCCCACATTTCATATATGAATGATAGTGTGTCAAAATCACAGTATGACTCATTACTAAAGATCATTTTTTAAGAAGCTGTCAGCTGACAACTTAGTTCCCTCTTTCTTTCTGTTGAGAGCAAAAATTGAAAAACACCTGACTTGGAAAAAGGATTTGTTTCCTAGTCAATAAAGTCATTTATCTTCCAAATCTGTGGGAAGTTTCTCAACAACAATTTTACCAAGACTGACCCGATAACCACTGTTTGTACAACGTACTCTGTCCCTAAGGACATCATGCCTAATCCAACAGACCAGAAAGGACTGAGAATGTAAAATCATTGTTAGTATTCAGTACACCTTTGCCAGTTCTTTATTTTTTAAAATAATGTTTTAATTCCACTTTTTATATATGTGCACACACATGCACATTTCCAAAACTTTAGGGCTGCAGGTTTAGCTTATTCCTTTATAGAAAACATCTGTCTGCCATCTAGTTTAATTGGAAAGCATTGACAACAAAAGTTGTCAAACCAGGGAAGTAAAGAGTTGCTTTCTGTTAGAAAAAGTCTGGCTTTATTTTTAAATTCAAGTGAAAATATGAATATGCACTTTGGGGACTATTATAAAATCCACTCAGCAATAAACTAAGGACTACATCTTGTACAGTAGGTTATGGAAAACTTTCAAGACTAAAGTGACATAGATTTAATGTAATTAATACATCTATTTTCAAAAACAAGATAAATCAATATGTACTTTGTTGTCTTTTAACTTTTAATTATGCATTGTAATGTATTTTTAAAATTATAAGTTATTTATAAAGTCAATAGTACCACAAAATGTATTGTTTCTCATTGTAAATGTGTGTGTGTTTTTACTGAACTCTGGTTTTTGATTTCTAGGAGTAAATAAGGAAAAAGTATTTATAACAAGTGAATGTCTTTAATTTTGATAGCCATTATGTTCAAACTTCTTCTATGTGTTTTAGGAAACAGAGAGATGTAAACTGCTAAAAACTAATTGGTCTGCAGCTAGCATATGCTTTTATTTCTGTTACTAGGAGGAAGATAAGTTGAATATTTACTAAGGTAATATGAGATAAAGATGGATTGTAATAGAAACAACTATTTCATACTATGATTGGATAAAAAGAAGTTTTCAATTACCTTTTGAATAATAACACATGGAATCTGAGACAAATCATATAAACTGTTTTTTGTATGTTTTATCCAGGGTAACTAGAAAAACCTGGCAGTCTCAAAAAATGTCCCAGTCCCGTTTTAAATAACCCACTTCACTAACTTGTACTACTTCAGCCATTCAACAAGGCTTTCCCCGCCCCCTTGGCAATTAGTGACATGTTGCTTTAGGAAGGAGTAAAAAGCTGAAAAGATTTGCTCATGTTAAAGCATATTAAAAAAGCCACTTTCCAGCAATAATTATTTTTTTCCAATGCTCTATTTTGTTTGCTCTCACAAATGCCCTGTGATACATTCTTTGACAACAGTGAGGGGTGGTATAGTGAAGTGTCTAAGTGAAATGATCAATATTCTTACTTCCCCAATCCACAATATACCTGTATTAAGAACATCTTAGCCCCATCCAAACACCTATTTCCAAGATCTTGCTTGACCTGGAGCAGAAATATGTAGCAGAAACAGGTATAACATACAGCGTGATGGTGGGATAGTGTTTTGTTTGGTGCCTGGGCGATTTTGCACGCTGGGCCAATGTTCTGTACTAAGGTGCCAGGTGGTGGAGAGGTGCTGTCTGCTGTCTAGGGGAGGGGGTAGTTGTGAAAGGAACGGCATGACATCTTCCTCCCGGGTGGATTCCCAGACTGCATATGAACTAAGGAACTGGAAACTGGTTTCTTTAAACCTGTTCTTGTCACATCCCTGTGAGGAAGTTGATGCATGAACCTCAGTTTGTAGGCCACTGCCCTGCAGCTCTTGACACAGAGGTGATCACTAACTGCTTAGTGAGCATTTGTAGGACTGAATTATCCCAATGGCCATGCTCTCTCCCCGCTTTGTCTTGCCCCATGCAGGTATGAGACGGAGATTAACAGACGCACAGCTGCTGAGAATGAGTTTGTGGTGCTCAAGAAGGTAAGGGGAGCAGCCGGTGGTGGTGGAAGCCTAGAGGGCTCCCTGAGCACCTGGCTCAGTGATGTTTGTAGGCTGAGGAAAAAGAGACCCGGGGGGTCCCTCAGTCCCTTGGGCAGGGGAGCCTGGGATTCTAATTTCCCAGATCTTCTCTCCAAATCCCTTGCCTGAGATGCATGCTGCTCCCAGAATCTGCCAGCTTAAAATCCAGGCATATGCCACCCTTGTGGTGCACCACTGCACTGCACATTAGCTGGTTTGTTCTCCTTGTGGCCGGGTGAAGAGGAGGGAAGGCGGGAACGAGGGCGGGAGGGGAGCTGGCCACTCTCTGTGTTCCCCAGGATGTAGATGCTGCCTACATGAACAAGGTGGAGCTCCAGGCCAAGGTGGACTCCTTGACAGATGAGATCAAATTCTTCAAGTGCCTCTATGAAGGGGTAAGGACCTTGCTGACCTCCTTGTGTGGTCTGACCCTCTTACAAGTAGCTTCTGGCCCTTGGGCCAGATGGTATGGACCAAAGGCTGGCAGAGAAGCCTTTTAATTCAGTGCAACTGACAGTTGCTAAAGCCCTACTATGCGCTGAGTGATGAGGTGAGCTTTGAGGAGACCATGATGGAGAAGAAATGATTCCTGTCCTCCAAAAATTCCCAGTCTGGTAGGAAAGACAGCATGTAGATGAGCTTTCAGAGAGCAAAGTGAATGGTGAGCTCCACCTGAGCTGTCAGGGAAGGCTCCTGGAAAAAGATGGGGAGATCTCCATGGGTGCTGATGCTCAAAGGGCCTGATTCTCCAGTCTGAAGGAGCAGAACAAGTGAAGATGCAGAGGCCTGAGCTGTGCTAAAGCACGAGGGGCCTGGAGAAGGGAAGGTCATTGGTGACTCCCTAGAGGACTCTGAGTGCCATGTAAGGAGTTCAGACTTGATTCTGTGTGTGAAGGGTGGCCGTTGCTGCAGAATGTGGAATAGGGGTGGGAGGGTGGGAGCAGTCCTGAGTGCATGATGGAGAGGGTGGTCCCACATGGGCTGAAAGGTTGATGCGTGCATCTCACACCCAGCAGGCACTGGCACTGGTGGGCCCTGCTGAAGGAGGGCAGAAAGGGCAGTGAGGGGTTTTCCAGGGAGGATCAGGGGATGTGCTCCCCTCACGAAGACCCTCTAACTGGCTCCACCCCCCTAACTTTCCCCCAGGAGATCGCTCAGATCCAGTCCCACATTAGTGACACATCTGTCATCCTGTCCATGGACAACAACCGGGACCTGGACCTGGACAGCATCATCGATGAGGTCCGGGCCCAGTATGAGGAGATTGCCCTGAAGAGCAAGGCCGAGGCCGAGGCCCTGTACCAGAGCAAGGTGAGCTGTGTGCCTGGTGTGCTAAGGCCCAATGACCACAGCTGCTGCCCTCTCATCAGGTGTGCATGAATGCATGTATGTGCTTATGTGTGTGCATGCATGTATATTTAGGCTTGATGGAGGCCTCCTTCATTTTGGAGTTGGGCTTGTGGAAATGCCTCCCCATGGTCCAGGGAGGGCAACCACAGTCTTGGCATGTGCTGGGGACATGTATGGGCCTTAGCTTTTTCCCTGCCATGGCCCTCGCTAACAGCAGAAACCACACCAGCCACAGCCCTGATAAGACTCTGACACCATTTCTGAGGGTAATCCAGATATCTTGGTTTTTCTTCTTGTTTCCGAGTTTGTTAAAATAAGGACAGGAAATTCAAACTCCACCAAAGTTCTCACATTTAAGAACCCAAGGATTCTGCTGAACCGGGGCAGGGCCTTCTTACCCAGAAGGAAAGTGTTATCTTTCTCCCCGCTACTCCTTCCCTCTCTCCTTCCCTTTCTCTCTCTCTCTCTCTGTCCCTCCTCCTTTCTTCACTTGTGTCTACACTGCTTGAATAATGAGAACAGCATGTGGCCCTCCCCCCTCATGCTGAACACCCGTAAGTGGTGAATGCTTAGCTGTCCTGTGACCCTTTTCTCTCATCCCCCAACCTCAGATCCAGGAGCTGCAGGTCACAGCGGGCCAGCATGGGGATGACCTCAAACTCACCAAGGCTGAAATCTCAGAGCTCAATCGGCTCATCCAGAGGCTCCGCTCAGAGATAGGGAGTGTGAAGAAGCAGGTGGGTTCTACACAATGTGCGCTAACAGGTCATATTGAGCACCAAGCTGTCCAGGACCAAATATGGAAAAGGGTCGCTCCTTTGGGCATTTAAACTCATCAGGAGAGAACAGTCTGAGCCCGTATGGAAGGACAAAGCCTCCACCCACTGTGCAGCATGCCCCCTAAGTGCTGGAAGAGTTCCGAGGGGCTGGAGCTGCTTGTAGGAGGTGGGATTCCACTGGGATGGAGGCAGAAAAGAGAGGGGTAGGGTAGGTAGAGAGGGAGCCAGCAGGAGCAGTGGACCCGAGGTGAGCATGTGCGTGGCATGTGTGTAGGGAGGAGAGGTGTGGACCACGAGCAGAAGGTACGCAAGGGTAGGGTGACAGAAAGCAGGACACCCCTGGGTAGGAACGGGTGGATTATGGGCACCTTCAAAACCAGGCAGTGGGGTTTAGAATGATTCAGTAGGTAAAAGGGAGGCACTGGGAGAATTCACGTGATGAATCTGTGCTGGAGGGAGGGCAAGCAGTGGATTTGAGAGAAGAGTGGGGAAGAAAGAGCCTCTCACCCTAGCCTTGGCCCGGGGCTCTGCTTTGTGTTTGCCCTTCCCTGTTCCGAGGACGGGACATGGTTTTCTCCGGTCGGAAAGCTTGGTCCTGGGTGTTTCTGCTGAGGCTGTGAGCCACTCACCCGAAAAGCTGCAAATGTTTGCTTGGCTGGGGCCCTGCCTGGCAGAGGACGGTGATGCCAGCTGGACAACACTCTAGAATTCCATCTGGCCTCAGGATCAGCTCTCTCCTTGGGATGAAGCAAATTGTGATTCCAGAGGAAGGGGACGCACTAGAAAGAGAAGCCAGATATGTAGGTCCCACCAACACCTCACCCACGTGCCAGGAATACACACCTAAGACTAACAGGCTCAGGAAGCTCTCCTGTCTCACCCCCCAGAGCTTTCCCATGGATGCCACAGAGACTCACACGCAGTTTGCTCCTGCAAGTGATTTTTGGAAGCTTGTAAAATTCTGTCAGTTATCTTTTAAGGCTTTTGCCATGTAACATGGTTCCCTGCAGAATTTTGGAGGCCAGACTCTCAGTGTGGCAGATTTATCGGACAGACATTTTATCACTAGGAACTTTATTCCTCCCCCATTTTTTCCCCACAATTTACAGGATCTCCCAAGACAACTTTTATACTGTGGGGCAGAATTAAGGTCAGCTACCCAGAGCCTTTTCAGGGCTGCCATTAGAATCTCATAGCTGATGTTACAGACGGGGAGGGAGAGGGCAGGCTCCGTGTGCCCAGGTGCCCACTTTCTCAGTGTCCTTCCCCTCCTCTCTCCCATGACAAGGATGCTCTACCTGCACATGCCACAGCACGAGTTAGGGTGAACCGAGGGCAAGCTCCCCTCTAAATGTCTAAAGATGGAGAAACCAGGAGGACCTCAGAGCATTTAGTATCAGTCAAGACCAAATGAGGAGAGTAGGATCTCAGAACTGAGCTCTGATTCAAAGCGCTCCTTCTGTTTGCTCCTCAGTGCTCCAACCTGGAGACGGCCATCGCTGATGCTGAGCAGCGGGGCGACTGTGCCCTGAAGGATGCTCGGGCCAAGCTGGACGAGCTGGAGGCCGCCTTGCACCAGGCCAAGGATGAGCTGGCCCGGATGTTGCGCGAGTACCAGGAGCTGATGAGCACAAAGCTGGCCCTGGACGTGGAGATCGCCACCTACCGCAAGCTGCTGGAGGGCGAGGAGAGCCGGTGAGAGGACCAGATATCTTTTGTCTGGAGCAGTTATCTCTCCACCTTAGTAGGAAGATTGAAAGCAAACAGTTTAGGTCTGTTCAGTTCCTAATGAAGTAAAACTTTATAGAAAGTGGGCTTGACATGGTGCAGTAGAAAAGACCAGTTAGACAACAAGAAGAACTAAGTTATAAAAAAATCCCAAAGAGGTGGTAAAAGAGGAAGCATTAACGTCAGCAATATTTGAGAAACAGAGCATCCCTGGACCCTTCATGATGCTTTCTTAAAGGTGGGTGGAGGGAGAGGCAAATGGCCTCCAAGAATCATGTAAGTTCAAGGTTGCTCTGGCAAAGCTGGGGGCCCAGTGAGGATGTGAGTTCATTCCTCTTAATTGCCTAAGACCAAGGGGATAACTAGAGGGAAGCAGAGGCACAAATATTCCACACATCAGATAATCCCAAAGCCACTTTGATGGAGAGCTGACTCCTTGTAGCAGATTTTTCACCTTGGTTCTCCATTTCTTGAGAGGTCCCGCTGAGGAGTATGGGAAGAAAGGAAGCCGGGATGGGGTGGAAAGTGGGACATGCTAAGAGGAGAAGCTAATGCACAGAGGAGACTCTCTGGATAGATGGGGGTGATGGTAAACGGAGGGCTTATCTGTTTTCCTTCTTCCTCTTTAGGATGTCTGGTGAATATCCAAATTCCGTGAGCATCTGTAAGTACCTACAGGACCCTGTTCTGCCCTTGGTCACCTACTATGAGTCTAAGCTCCTCTAATTCCATGACACCAAAGAGAAGTCAGAATACCAGCGTGGGTTCAGGGGAGACTTAGGGGCACAAAGAGGAAGCTGGCTTTAGTCATCAAGGAGAAGCAAAGGATGGAGAAAAATAATGTCATGAAATACAAATGAATAACCTGTAGAGAGATCAAATGATGCTCAAGAGTGTATAATCCAAGAGCCGATTGTAAGAATAATGCTTAATGACTACATTCTGTTTCTACTGAAGCTAGACAAAATAAAGGCCCTGAATTTCAGTAAGAGGTTATTGAAGGGAACCTGAAAGGGGAATGATGAAAAAGAGCTGAAATCACCTCTTCCAGATTTAAAAGCTAATGAGAGTGCTGTGGAGGGGCTGTCATAGGAGAGGCAGCCCTTTTCTTCAGCAGCAGCACCTGAAGCCTCCGTAAGGCCCAACCTGTGGGGAAATTCACTGCTAGAGCTTGGGAAGCTTCAAGTCTGATAGTGGTAGATTAACACAGACTAGTAGGAAAAGGTCAAATACATGGGGCCAAGTACATGAAAAATGACCAGTGCTGATTAAAATCTCCAAGTAAACTAAAAATACACAACAGAGAGACTCTATCTCCACGTGAAGCCACCACAGGGGAGAGAACTAAGGGAGTGGCCAGGAAGCCCCAGGAGGACTGACAGGGCTGGGGTCTTCTCTTACCTATTCCAGCTGTCATCAGCAACACCGGAGCTGGGGCAGGAGGGGCTGGCTTCAGCGTGGGCTTTGGCTCCTCAAGCAGTTACAGCTACAAACCCGGGGCGGCAGACGTCAAAACCAAAGGCACCTGTGGCAGCGAGTTCAAGGATCCACTTACCAAAACCTCCGGCAGCAGCTGTGCAACCAAAAAGAAGGCCTCCAGATGAAAGGCAGAAGGCTGCAGAACCCATCCACCTCCTTTCCTCCCTGGGGCCCCTTCCCAAGTCAGGAGGTGTTGTCCCTGTAACCGCGATCCCAGTCCCCTCCCCTCTCACTATTGTCCTCAGCGGGGGGTGATTCTCCTGTATAGGGAAGTCCAGTCATGGGTGCTTGGTGACCTCCTCCTTGGCCACCTTTCATTGGGTCACTGCCCCAAATGCAGAGATAACTCACATACGCAGGATGCTTCCTTGCAACCAGGTGGCAGCCCCTCTGTCCCCATGTGCCTTTCTTGGGTCTTCACCGCCAAGGGGCTCTCTGTGTCCTCTGGTTGGGGTTGTGCCCAGTTCTCTGCTTCACCTGCAATAAACGCTCAATGTCATTTGATTCTCATTGTCAATCTGTTGCCCAAGATGTCAACATCTGCATCATACCATCTAACTTTTCTTGGTCTACTTCTTGCTTCCCTTTGAGTCTCTGGCCTGACATAGATTTTTGCTGTCTTGTTCTGGCCAGGTAGGCATTGGGTGAGAGCTGCTCCTGGTAAACGGCTGAGACTTGTTACTGATGCGCCTCTGGACAGGCACAGGGCTTCCTGTGCATCGGGGTCCGTAATCCACACACTGGCCCTATGAGACAGACATCATCACCCCATTATGGGAGGCTCACACCATTTTCGATCTGGTTCTCAAAGGCACCCAGTGTCCCATACTAATTGCCTCTCATTGCGAGAGTGGTCAGTCCTTTTTCTTCACCTCTTCACTCTCCTGCTGACCCCCCTCCCTAATCCTGTTCCCTCACAATGGCCCCGCTTTCCACTTCTTCCAGGCAATTCCTTTCCAGCCTAAAGTTTGAGGCCTGCGTGTATATATGTTTATGGATGCCTCTGTATCTATTGTGTATATGTAATAGTGGCTCACTGAGAGCGCCGAATCCTAACCACTGGATCAGCAGGGGAGCTAGTAGTGGCTCACTAAAAACTCCTTAGTCAGCCAGGCATTGCTCGGGCACTGGGAATACCGCAGTAAACAAACAGGCCCAGGCCCTGTCCTCAGAGAGCTTACAGCCTGGTGGGAAGAGTAAAAGTAAGCAACCAACAAAGGAATATATAATACGATGTCAGTAGTGATTACTGCTATGAAGAAAAACTAAGCGGGGTAAGAAAGGTGCTCTTTTAGGTGTGTGTGCGCGCGCGCGCGTTTCTCAGAATCAGCACAGTTGACTTGATCAAGGTGCTAAGGACCAGACTTCCCAAGGGCGAGACCACCTCCCAAGGATGAGCCTCATTTGAGAGTGGTAATTCAAGGTGCCCATGACCCCTTCCCCTCCCACATTATTCCCTGTCCGGACACTCCAGTCTTTCTTCAAGCAGGCCAGGACTTTTCACACCCACAGACCTTTATAAATATGATTTTTTCATCACGGGAACCCATGCCCCATTCATTTATTGAAAGCTCACTCATCCTTCGTGGTCCAGCTAAAATGCGGTCTCCCTTGTTCATGCATTTTCTGGTCCTTCCAGATGGACTCCATTAAGCCATCAAGCATTACATGAGAAGGAACATTAGAGCTGCTGGCTCAACAGCTCCCCCTGTCCCTTCATTTTATAGGGTAGCAAGTGGAGGCCTGGATGGCTAAGTGCTCTGCTCACAGCCCCGCACACCCGCACCACTATTGATGAGTATAATATAGCTGGTGCTTTATTTTCCTGGTGTCATGTTAGCTGTACACATATCTGCCCCCTCACAGTCCCTTGTTCCTCGGTCCTCAAGTCTGGCTCGCACTCAGCACTCAACATGCATTTGCCACAAGAATGTGTGGCTTAGTCTAGCTTACCTTCACCAGAGAGAAAACGCTCAAGGTACATGCACGTCCTGGTGATTTGGCATACGAACGATGAAACACATTTGGGTTAAAAAAATTTGTGTTTTCTATGCATCCACATGTATGCAGTTTATATAATTTATCAACCAAACTGGGACTCTTATTCTGGACACATGCTGAGCTAGATCCTCGGACAACAGGCATAAACCAGCACCATCTCAGGCAAATGCTCCCCCACACCGGGTCCGGCATATTGGCTTCAAATCCCGGTGCTTCTAATGGATGTTTAGGTGTGGCCTAGTGCAGGATCCTGTCCTTTTAAAATAGCATTGACATAAGCTGGTCGTTATCCAGTGCTTCCTATATGCCAGGTACTGTTCTCAGCACTGTTTTGCAACTCAATTAACTCCCCCAACAACCTGATAGGGATTATTGTCATAGATGTTAGTATAATAGTGCACATCTCACTACTGAGGATACTAGGGCTCAGAGGGCTACATAACCCACCCAATGTCACACAGTTAGTAAATGGCAGAGTAGGGATTTGAACCGCAGTCCAACTCCACAGTCCACTCTACCAGCCACAATAACCTCATTATCTGTCAAAGTTCTCACCTTAGAGCAGCGGTTCTCAACCTTCCTAATGCCACGACCCCTTAATACAGTTCCTCATGTTGTGGTGACTCCCAACCATAAAATTATTTTCGTTGCTACTCTATAACTGTAACTTTGCTACTGTTATGAATCGTCATGTAAGTATCTTTTTGTTTTCCGATGGTCTTAGGTGACCCCTGTGAAAGGGTCGTTCGACCCCCAAAGGGGTCGCGACCCACAGGTTGAGAACTGTGGCCTTAGAGGGTAGTTGAGAATGTGAAAAGGGATAATGGAAGAAATACAGTTGCAGCCAATAAATGTTAGTTGTTATAATAGTTATTGATGTGTGTTTGTAAAGCCTTCTGTGTTTGCTGGCCGTGGACGGGCTCATGACAAGTCTATTTACAGCAGGACTGTGCCCGGGGGCCTGGCTGAGATGGTCTAAGTGCAGGGCAGAGGACCTGGGTCTATTCATTGATACATATTCCCATCCAGTCACCAGCTGCTAATTTCCAAGCAAGAAAAATAACTCTCCTGTGCCTGTATTTTGTGCATACACTGCCCTCTGCCATCAGACCCAGGTACTGCACCTTCCATCTGTGTGGCCTTGGAGAGACTTGCTTATACCATATAACACAGAGGGTGTGGGATGATCTTGGACAGGCTATGTGCCCACCACAGACCTGCTCACTGGAGGAGATGCTGTTTCATTCCCTGGCATGCCCAGACTGGTCCCAGCCTCCGTATTGGACAGGCCCTGGTCCTGTCTCCCCTCCCTCTCCTCTCACAGGAGGTGGATGGGGGCTGCTGCTGTCTAAACCTTTTCACCTCTAGTCAGAGAACGCGGGATCTTCAGACAGCTCTTCCTCAGTGGATGCCTGAGAATCTTGGTGCTGATCCGGAGTGAGAGCCCCCATCCCTCAGCAATATCCTCCCCAGTCCCACTTGTACTGTGTGTAAACCCCCTACCCTGGCTGTATGGGGTGGGGTGGGAGGTGCTCTAAGATCTCTCTCTCTCTCTCTCTCTCTCTCTCTCTCTCTCTCTCTC